CAGCTTAATTGTTTTCTAATATTATTTGAAAAATAATTAATAAATAATAAAATAATTAATTATTAATACTAGTAAATTGGGTCTATAGTGCATGAAATTATTTAAACTATATTTCTTGGTTTTGGGACGTTTTGAATTTGATAAATTGAAACAGTCTTATTTTTTTAGTGATAATTTAGAGTAGAATACCAATTTTAGAATATTTTAGCACAAAATGGGCATTCATCTATATATACGAATTTAAAGAATATTTTCATAAGATAATTTTAATAAAAACCTAACAATAAGACTTGGTGTGGTGCATATTTTCAGAAAATCCTCACTTTGTTTCAGTAGTCGATTTTAATACATAGAGAAACAAAGTATTTCTTATTTATTAATACTAGTTTGATCGAATTTGAAGTGCCAGTTTTCGTAATTAAAATAAAATGCAAATTATTTTGTGTAAATTTATAAAGTGAAAATTTTATAAAGTGAATTGCTACATATTTTCAACTACCGAAAATTAAAATAAAAAAAAAAATGCTATTAAATTTGAAAACAAATTATTTTTGCTTATCATACTATATGCGATTTATTTGTTTGGACTTTAGATGAATCTTATTATAAATTATGTTAGCGGATGCAGTAAATATTAGAGGCCTATGAAAATTGACTTATAGTTAAACAATATTACAATATAATTGCTGCAAAATATATGTGGAAATAACAATTCGACATTGTAAATTAAATGCGCTTTTATAGTGAAAAATCTCGATCAAGTTTTATTTATTCTTCACTTGTTGCATTATTATTAATTATTAATCTAATTAGAAGTACAGTAAAATTTGCCTATTAAGACGATAATGCTTAAATTGATTTCCCGCACAATACGCTACCTTTATCTCTTTGAAACATATTTTCCTTATCCGACTTTGTTTTTCGTTTAAGATCCGTCTTTGGTTCGGTGCTTGGGAAATCGTCTTAACAGGGTTTTACTGTATAAGAATAGAATATATATCGATTGATTATTGAAATAAATTATAGCAAAAATATTATGTACAGTCAACCCTTCGATAAGGCGATGAGTTTGTACCGTGTAGCAATGAATCCGTGCTATAAGAAACTCTTACGTACAATCCAGGCCAATTTTATTGCATTTTTGTACTTTTTTTGTATCTCAAATCAATTTTGTAAATAACACTGTTACAGTTTTGATTAACATAATAAATTATTATAAACAAATATAAAATTCAAGTTAATTTGTAGTGCGTTTTATGGAAATTATATAAGCGTTATATAGGAACCGTGTTGTAAGAAACTCAGAATTAGTACAAATCAGCAGCATTTGCACCGCGTTATATGGAGACCAATAAATACAAAAGACATGATAAATTATAAAGTGTTATTATTAAATTGAAGAGTTTATGTAAAGATATGAATAAAGTGTAATTTATTTTTTATTCAATTGCGTAGATATAAAATGGAACAAAAGCTAAACCAAAAAGATATTTTCCAACAAAAAATTTACAAAGCAGTTTTTAAAAGAGCTCATAGGAATTTTGCCGTCGGAGCGGCGGCATCCGAGTGGAAAGGGTTAAAACTTCTTGCAACAATATCTAGTTACTTTTACCTTGTACAATAATGATTTACAATATCTAGTTACTTTACCTTTTACAATAATGAGTCAATTCATAGGTTGTTCGGAAGGAACTTATGGGCTGTTCATCGAAAACCGTGTTATACGAGTATCGTGTTGTCGGAGGGCTGTCGTAATTTATTTTGGTGTGTTATGAAAACCGCGTTATCGAAGGATTGACTGTACCAAAATAGTGTTTCATTGTAAGCAACCTTTCATTGGCCTCCAATATTTACCATTTTCGTCCATCAAGTTCATCACAAATCAAGACAACTGAACCAATTTTCCACCTCCGCTTTGGGAATGTGAGCACTGGAATGACTATGATAATGCAATGTTTTATTATTCGACTGACGGACCTTGGAAAGATCACAATTAACAATTTCATCAAATTCACCAAATTCAATTGTGTCCGTTCATCTCATGCTCTATCTATCTACCATGTGGTTTATTTTTGCAGTAATCTCTACTTTTCCAGCCATGTGAACAACGCGTTCGGCTCGGTGGTTGTCGTTCAGTAGAGATGATGTTTATTGTATGTGAATTGCATGGATGGCCATTTATTTAGTATTACTGCTGGCTTCCTCGTATATGCCTGCTCCTAAAGTATGTAGCTTCTATTTAGGCTTATCTATACATTTAGAATTAGTTATACTTATCTACTACCCATACTTATCTTACAAGGAGAATCTGAGGTTTACTCTTCTGGGATTTTGATGAAACTTTGTCTGATGATAGAGTTTATAGTCAAAGTCCTTAAAATATTATAGGTCTATGGGAAGTGGTTCAATTATAAAAATTAATTAAAATACATAAAAAGTTCAGTCATTGCTAACCGCTCGGCTATGTAGACATATCAACAGAGAACAATATACGGGTAGATATAGCGCGCATCGCATTTCTTGCAACTACAATAAATTTTTATAATTAAACCACTTCTCACAGGCCTATAATATTTTAAGAGATTCATTCTTACTACCAACTTTATCACCATGCAACATTTCATTAAAATCCCAGAAGAGTGAACCTGAGGTTCTCCTTGTTAGACATAATCATATCAGATATAAAATATTCTTCGGGCATCTATCCAATTATTAGATAAAAACCTATGTTAAGTGATTTAAAAATTTACGTTTAGAGTATTGATTCGACATACAAGTAATTTAAATAAAATACAATGACAAGAAGAGGTAAAGAATTATTGAGTATGATGTTCATCGTTGATGTTTCATATTTTCAATTCTTAATATAGTTTTTATTTATTTTTAACTTTCTGAAATAGAAGTTTGTGTTTTCTTAAGAATATCCTATTTGCCAATTTTTTTTTAACATTGAAGTTCCTGAATCGTTTTAGAACAAAATTGGAAAACGTATGTATGTGCGTATGAGATTTTCTTACATATATAGCGAAGGAACTGCGTTTATGCATACCAGACTAGGTCTTTTGTCCGGGCATGTCAGACTCAATACCGTCTGGGTGTAATACCGACTAAAACCTCCGCTCTTTTCTAGCTCCTTGTCCTCACGGGAACCGCAGTTAGGCATTACTTTATGGGGGGAGGATCTAGAATGCTATGATTTTTCTCTGTATTAAACTTTTCTTCTAATTAATGCCATTTTTTGGTATGAGTGTGTGTGTGTGTGAAATGGCAGCATCGATTTTAGGAATTTAAAGTTATTTCATGAATTTTGTTAAGGACTGGCTGATTCGTTTTGTGAGACTATTTTTCGACTCTTTTTTTATTAATCAGAAGTTGAGTGCAAAATGTTTTGTACACGTTTTCGCCAAAAATTTTGAACTGATAATTTAGATATGGATATCGGGTATATGATGCAACATACCCCAAGGCAAAATGCCACTCACACCTAATGATATTTATGTTTTTTGTTTATTTTTCTAAGTATGTTAATTAATATATTTGCTATTTCTTCTTGTTATTGTATTTTATTTTATTCATTTTTGTGTACCAAGCTTCGAAACGACGTATGCTTTTCTAGACTTTTTATGTTAACTCATGGACCGATTCTGCCGCACAACAGACCAATGTTATGGCAAGGCTATGTTATGAAGAACTTTCCAAACTAATTCGTTTTAAATATTGACAAAAGTCATGTGGTTGCTCTGCAGTCAGGCGATTTTCTCAGGTTGTCAGATAGAAAACATAACATAGAAACCACAAAAATGTCAAAAAAAAAAGATGTTAGATAACAGGGATTTCTGACTCGGGTTCATAACGTACGAGTGACGTTGCAGTTTATGAGTAAAACGTCTGAATGCACACTTAATACATGACATTTTGATAGTATTCAGTATGATTCAGTAGCATAATGTATGGAAGTTGGAGCGTAATATGGCCTTGCCATAGCATTGGTCTCTTGTGCGGCAGAATCGGCCCATTAGTTTTTATTTCATAACTTTCTGGATGCCTGAAAAATTTTATATATCTTTCATCATATAAAACACTATAATATTTTTTTTTGAATATGATGTTGATATATGTATGAACTGAATTCTAATGATCGCACGTTATATCAATAAACTGACATTTTAACCCTTTCCACTCGGATGCCGTCATTCCGGCGGCAAATTGCGTATTAATTATGCATTTAGCGAGTGGAAAGGGTTAATATAAGGTTATTGAAAATTCATATGTTTCGATTAAAGCGCTTGCCTTTCTTTAGTGGAAAATTGCTAAAATTAATTAAAACTAAATAAACGATTAATGTTAAGTGTGTATTTTCAACTTTTTTCACAAAGGTATGAAAAATTTACTATGGTATACAGCATTACAAAAAAATCAACTTACAACTTGAAACCATTTATCATATAAATCTTTGTACTAAGTTTTTTATATTAGTTTTAAATATTTTCTAGCAATTATTTATTTCATTTGATTAATTTTAGTAATATTTTAATGATTGAATTTAATATCATTTCTTACAAAATTATTAGCCATCACAATTGCCATTATATTATTAAAATAAAACATATGACATATGACATTTAGTCAATCGGGAGAGTCCGCCATTGTCGTCTGCAATGTTCGCTCACCAAGTGACGTCACAGTCTCTTCTTGTTTTGCGCTCGCTAGTAGTCCATGTAGTATAAGGGTTATGAGTGTAATGTCTATTAGATATAACCAAATTATAATTTAGTGTTTTTATTTTTGCGCAAATGCAAAATTAATAAATTTTGTTAAAAAAAAAATATTTTCAAAAACCGTGTAAAACGAGTACCGTGTAAAACGGGAGATAGCTGTAATTGTAAATATCAAACCAGTCTTTATTTATTTCAAATATCTCGTTTCATTTATCATCTATTATTAATATTTTTTTTATTACTAGTATGTAATTTTATGTTTGTTTCTAAATATTTTAACAGATTGGAAGAAGACACATAGCCTGGCCAAGAAGTTGCAAAATCACCTGTTTAATTAGAATTATATATATATATATATATATATATATATATATATATTAGTATTTATGCATTTAAAAATATAATAAGTGATATTTTGTTAAGAGCGATGCTGCTTTGTTGCCAATACATTAAATATAGAAACGTTTTATTATATATTATAATAAATCCATAGACAATATGAATTTACGCAAAATCGAAAAGATTAGACTAAAATGACTATTAAGTTTATGTATGAGCATCGTCTGAAGTTTAAAAGCTAAATTTTATAAAACAAATTTAGAATAGAAAAGTATTTTCATACTTCTTGTGAAAAGTAAGTAATACTTTATAAAGTGGGCGAAAAAATGCAAAATAATGAATTTATTAGCTTTTAGTTTTTTTTTAATTTTTAAGATTGCTTGAGAAATATTACTTTACGAAAAGTCTCAGATTTACTAATTATTAATTTACATTCCATTATTACTTATTATAAATATGTTTGTATATATCTGTCCTAGTGTTTAAGTTTGTTTCTATATTTACTATATTATTTCTTGCTATTTACTTTTAATATGTTTAATATTTATTCAAATTTTTTATTAATTACTGAGAAGATATTGTGCCAGAGGACGCTAGTCATGTTCGGGACAATTTAAGGAAAAAATGATAAACGATTCGATAAAAACACGATTAGAGCTATTTAGATATAAATGCATGTTTCATAAAAAAAACATTCAATTAAAAAGCTTTTTTCTTGTGATAAAATTATATATTGCTAAAATTTGATGTATGAATAGTTTATTATCAAGCTATATAAATATGAGATTAAGATTGTTGTAATATATCTAATATTTTTAAAACTGATATGAATTTAAATTATAATAGGCATAGAATATTGTAAAATTTGTGTGTGGTTTATGAAATCAAATATATTAATTTTGTAAGAAAATTATGGTTGATGTGTGAATTATTTTGAACCACGTACAGGGAATTAAGCGAAAACTAATTAAACATATTAGGTATATTTTTTAGGCAGGAGATGTTGATGTTTTAGGCTGTTCATCATTAGCATTCATAGAGGTCGTGTAGCTGATCATAAGTAGACCTCAATGCCATTGGAGTTGTGGTTTATGACCATTTGCTTCTATTGCCTGAATTTATTTAATTGTTATTTACCAAACACAAGAAACAATCGTCGTGGTGACACTGAGGTTTTATTTTAAATGACGGAGGTATTAAAATTATAGCATTTCTATTTTCTTCTGGATAATAACGTGAACACACTACGCAATTTTTTTATGTAGTATGAAGAACCCATGTTTTATCTTTATTGCGCAATTCAATTTTAAAGTGGTTGAAATACGACGTCTTTACGCTGTTGGGCATAGGTTACCGGTATTTGTCGAAAACATATCAACCACAAATGTAACAAAAACTATCTGAATTATGCACACAAAGTCTTAGAGTCAAAGCCATACCAAAAACAGCAGATAAAACTCTTAATTATTCTTTAAACTGCAATAATTATAGCCGAAATGACTAAAGGTGGTCGCCCCCTAAAACTCAAAAACTGGAGCTGTAACGAAAAAAACGGAAGGTACATTTGAAATCAGCGTGCAATTCTATTGTTAAAAAAAAGCTGGTGGAAAAACGAAAAGTGTCATTTTTCTCGCGCAGTGTAATCGTATTGGTTGATTGAAAACCGAGATTTACTTTCAAAATAAACCGCTGAAAATCTTATCTTCACAATTTCAAAATTTGCTAAATCTCAATAATTATTATATATTAAGTCGATCATTTACACTTAGCGCAAATGTCAAGCAACTTGCAATTAATGCAAATTACACCTAGTTTAGTTTAGCATAGCGAGCAATGTTCCGCGATTTGTCGGTACATCAAAGAAAATTGCTCGTTCATGTTTGAACTCGTGTATGCAGTGTGGACGCTACCACGAATGTAGGACAACCATTTTTCTTTTTTGATGTTAATATGTGCAGTCCTGCTTTAGTTTATGTTGTGCTTATTATAAGATATTACTGTTATTGTTAAATTTTGTAAATTAGATTACTATAAATAATTTTTTTTTCCGCTACTTTAAATAATAAAACGCAAACATTCTCAAACAAAGAAGATTCAAGCCCTCACTGCTTTGAGGCGTTTGTTCAAGTTCGTTTGGAATGATTTGCCTTTGTTCGTGTTCGTGTTCGTATTCGTTTTTCTTTGTATTTTCTTGTTCGTCATGTTCATTCGTTAGGTGAGGACGCACCTTAATATGCGCAGACTGAAAACTGCAAACGAAGTCAAACCACGCGCATATATTCGTCATGTTCGTTCTTGCTCGTTCGTTAGGTAAGGACGCACCTTTAAATTTTATAAGCGAATTTACGATCAATCAATGAATTATTTTTTTGTATTAAGTATGCAGAAATGATCAAAAGTTTGATCATCTTTACCATACTATAACACAATATTAAATGTTAAATATAATATGAACAACACAACACTCATTTTTTTACGTATATAATTCAATATAAATTTGAATTGCAGAGTTACCTTACACGGAAAATGAAAACAAGCGCATAATTTCATTTTTTACAAAGTTTAAAATTGTATTACGTTATTTAAATAGATATCAGTAAATTATATTACACTTACCTTTTCACGTGCTTTTTTACATTTGAAATAAAATAAAAATATTTACAGCTTTTGTTTCCAACTTTCATTTGTTTATACATCTAAGAAATTATTTGTATTTATGTTATTTTGGCGTTAATGGCGGATTTTACGCTATCAGTATTTATTGTTAGTTAAAAAAATTATCAAGAAACTGTGTTTTATAGCGTTAAATTGAGTTAAAAGCGTTGCTTAATTTATATCAATACAAATAATTGATAACGAGTTGAATGCAGAAAATTAAGATGTTATAAATTATCTCAGTTGTTATTGATTAAGTCGATTATTTACACATATCGGGAAGTACATGCAACTTCCTTTAAGGCAGAATGCCACTAACACCTAGACACTTTACATATATTGTCCAAATGCTCAAATATAGAAAATATAATTAACTATGTTTATCCAAGTTCAAAACTATGTTGACAAAATGAGTGACTTTATCTACAGCATCAGGCAAATCTAAAATAGTTGCTATAGCGGCAGGCGTTGAAACAATTATACCAACATTGAGGTGTAAATGTGAAATCAACATTGAATCCAAAATCAAGAAATTGAAATTCGAGAGATTTTAAAAGTGAAAAGAAGTTTTGAATACGTATCAAGAAGAAAAGGAGGACATCTTGCAAAGGTATGATAAATAATTATTTATTAATTAATATTATATTAATGATTTTATATCGTATGTATTTTTCTATTGTTTCTCGTTCTTAGTGCACAACTTCAAGTCAGTTGTTTGTTTATCAGATTAGTTTGATATAAATATAAGTGAATATAAGTAAAAGTGAATTGTTTAAATAAATTTTCAATTATTTTCAAACGAAATAATTATCGTATTGAGATAATAAACAAAAACGTAAGAAATAAAGGACATAATACAACATTAAGGTATTGTTAAACTGATTTGATTATATTTTATATGTCAAAACACTTTTAAATATTGCGTGAAATTTTGTTCGATATTCTTCATAATTAACTTAGCATAAATTAGCAGTTGTGCAAGAAAAGTTTATTTTCCTTATTTATTGCTAATTTTGATTTTGGAAAAAGTAAAAAAAAATGCCGTTTGATGGTCAAAAATGGTCATTAGACATATGCACAATAAATTATCAGATATTTTATAGTGATTTTAATAATAAAAACGAATATTGTTTATATTTCTATAGGTTCCGTGCCAAGATGTATAATCATTAATTAAACTTATTTATTACTTACTTTAATTAATATTATCTATTACTTTTATTAATCGTTAGACAGCGACACGGCGCTTACGCGCTTCAATATATCGTCTTTAAACAGCTAAAGCTGCGCGATTTCTTTGGAAAAAAGTTCAAAATTTCCAAAATATAAACTAGTGGTGCATGGCATCGTGCCTCAAGGCAAATTGCCGGAACTTCCCGTACCATACTTAAACATTCGAAGAATGAAAATAATCAATAATTGTTTTAAATAATTTGAAATAGATTATTTATTAAAATCTCGTTAATTTATAAGTGCTTATTAAATTGGGTGGAGAGCGTATTTTATAAACAACTTATGTATATGTTTAAAAGACATTTGTTATTTTTTTTAAGTTTGATTTATTTGATAATTATGAATTTTTTTCAGATATTATAATATATGTAATGATAGTTTGGAAATATTCGAAATTAATCTCAAATTGTAAGAAATATTTTTTTTTTAATTTTCATATTTTTCAAAATTTAGATTTTTTTGAAAGGGATTAAAAATTTCGAAAATTTGTTTTTTTCTAACTTTAAATTTTTTTGAGAATTTTGAAATCGCGAAATGTTTTGTAAAAGCATTTTTTGCACACCGCCTACACAAAAGGTTTTTTGAATTAATCTAATCGGGCAACCTTCAAGACACAAAGATATATAACAATTTTCATTTTCGATTTTCTTGCGAATTCCGAATTTTAAAACAAAAATATGAAACATTCTCAAAATAAATTAATTTATAAAACGGGAAGTTCTAGCAATTTGCCTCAAGACACACTGGACAAGCACCACTCGTTAATTTAATGATATTACAACCAGTCTCAATGGTTTTTACTCATCTTTTGTTCATTGACTGCCAGGAAGATAGTACTTTAATTAAGTAGGAACTTTGATAACATATTCATTAAGGAAAAGTACAACTATTTAGAAACACTATTTTATTTGGACAAAATGACATAGAGAATAAGGGCATACTGAGATACTTATTTTTAAGAAGACAGTTCATAAATAAATCGTTTGGTCTAACTTTGGGACTTTAGCACTTGAAGCATGAACCTAAAGGGTACAAGTAACCAATATTCGCCGGGCTCATACCGGAAAAATAGGATTTTGCAATAAGTGCAAGTCTCTTTTTTTACCGATGGATCTTTTGGTCTATTTTTAGCACATATGTGCTTACTTGAAGTGGCAGTTAAAAGCCAATCAGGTTTTATTTGTATTTTCTTGGCCCTGTAATACTTGCGAAATGGTACACATTTTGGTTTAAGTATGTCATTTTGTCCAAAATTGAACAAAAATGATTCAAAATTCCATCAAACACTTGATTATTAAAATAAAATTGACTAAAGTCACTAATACTGGCAAAAGTTAATCGATTTTAATTACAAATATCAATAAATATGTTCTCAACAAAATATGATAAAACCACCCTCGAAATAAACTTTTTAAGGCGATCATCAGATCATCAAATTCCACATATTTGATGATCGGTAGTTGTAATTTTATTATCAAATAATTGCGAAGATTCAATATAAAGCTATACTCCTTGAAAACTCGTGACAATCCGGGACAAAAGATCTAAATCCGGGGACTGTCCCGGACAAACCTTCACGTATGGTCACCTTAGTATCGAAATAATTCGAGAGTGACCGCGAATTTTTAAATGTGTCCGTTACCAGAAATTGATTTGATTTATTTTCTAGATGCCTGTGGTGTATGTATCGAGGTCACCCACCCAACAGACCACATTCAGGATTAATTTAACTCAAATACTTCGGAAGCAAGCGCTAGTTGACATGACGTTGATTTGTACAACACATTCAATTCGAGTCCATAGAGCTATTTTATCAGCCAACAGCAAATATTTGGAAAAGGTCTTAACACATTTTCAAGACGACATCGTTCTTGTTTTAAAGGGCATCCACTTCCAAGCATTGAGGTATTATATGGAAACAACATTAAATGTACTTAGTACTTTTATATTAACCTTTTTTTTAATAGTGTTTAGGTATCTTCTGCTTCTAAAAGTGAGTTAAAAAAGTGTTTAGTGTTTCTATTAATTTTTAGTGAATTGTAGATTTAAATAGTTCTGGAAACAAGTTTGCAGCTGAAATATATTATTGGAACAATTAACATGTAACCATTTAGTTAGATAAAATGGTGCTTAGGAAAAGTTTAGTGATTATAATTATTTATAACTGCAGCACTGCAGTTATAAATAACTTGGTCTTTTTAATGGTATGTAGCAGTTAATAATACAATTTACAATGAATTTTTATCTTAAACTTTATATAAATATTATTGAATCTATACGGTTGCTGCACTCAGTCATGCACATTCATAGTTCAGCAATTACATCGAGTCAACAATGTTTTTGTTTCCATGTAAAATTATATTCTAGTTAATATTGAATATCAGTCATATTTAAACTAATTAGTAACTGTAAAATTTTTGCACATATAATTCAAAATGTATTTAGTATTCCACATTAATAATGCATTCATTGCTTGAGCTTTATTCGACATAACTATTTTGACTTTTCTCAACTCGATAAATAATCTTAAATTTTATTGCGTTACTTTTATTGATTTTATTGATATACGTTTTTTTAGGAATGTGTTTTAGTTTAAAATTATAGAATAACTAGTCATTACTACTTAGTCATCACTATTATCTTACTTCTATTAATTTTATCTAATTTTTAGTTTACATGAAACAACATTTCTGTCTACATATAAATTAAGTCGAGCTTTAATACTTATAAATAAAAAACCATCAAGAATATATATATATATATATATATATATATATATATATATATATATATATATATATATATATATATATTATAGAATTAAGATGTGATGAACCATAACTGTTTTCATTTATTTATCGAACTAAATTTACTTTTAATAATTTAAACAAATATTTATAGATTTATTTTTAATAGATCAAATAAATATTGATACTATTATTTGAGCTATATATATATATATATATAAACTTTGAACTCCCTAACAATATACAATATTATATATATTTAAACCTCATAAAAGCAGAATGTTAATAAATTATTAATTTTAATTTATATAATGCAAATGTAGGAAATATTACATTCGTTTAATATTGTTATTATATTATGATGAAAACAATATTTCAAAAATGATTCATTCATTAGAGAATTCATTAATTATTTAGGAACTATCTTATCAATCAAGTCGTTTGAGTATTCTGTTACTCGATATATTGTTTCTGCATCATCTTTTGTTAAATTATTTGCACATTGAAAAATATATAAAATATTATAATATTCTTATATATATGCTATATATATATATATATATATATATATATATATATGCATGCATAACTCTCCTTTATTTAAGTGTTGTGCTTTTAACATTACTTACAACTATGTTAATGAATTTTTATATTTTGGTACCAGCAACGATGAATCTTTGTCATCTATAAAGTATAAGATGTTCATTATGAAAACTAATAAAAAATGTTTTTAATAACATTAATATTATAAGAAATATTCAAAGAAATAAACCATATCGAGCCAGCAAACAGTACAAGAATAATTGAGAAGTAAAATTCATTTACCTAAAACTCTGATTCAAAACTACTTACAATTAGAATTTTTAATATGCATATAATTTTTATTTCACATTTTTCTGATTGAAAACTTAAGAATTTTTAAGAAATCTCTAATTTTTATATGAGCTATTATACTTTGATTTTTGTCATATAGCAGTTTTTGTTAGTCTAAATATACTGATTATATCGATCTCTCTTTATTCACTAACAATAAGTGGTATTTACAAAACTATGAAAATGAAAAATTTTTCCAAAATGTTTTATAGGGAAGGTCGTAATTTTAAGACACTCTTTGCCAAGTTGTTTTATCTTTATGAATTAATTAATCTAGTATTTGTTTTTTTTTTCTATTATTTTATTAACGATTAAGCAAAGTTATAAATTTATTTTTACATTCTGTTAAATACTCTCCATTTAGAGAGAATAGAAGAAAGCTTTTAGAGAATAAAATGCTATAATAAGTTATATGACAATCTTTGAAGATGATGAAATATTTTTTTTGTGAATTATTAAAAGTACTTTTATTATTTGAATATTACAAGGGGTCTTATCGCATTCATGTATTGTGGTTATACTGGAATAGAAGAGTCCGAAATTAAAGATTTGTTTGCTGCTGGAAAAATCTTAGGAGTTTATGGTCTTATTCAGATGGGAAAATTGCAAGGGTCAATGATGAAAGATACCAAGAGTGGTGAATTTGAGAAGTTTCAGCTTGGCGATACAGGTAAGTTTGAAAAAATATTTTTAAATTACATTATAAAAACTATGTTTGCGATTTATTTGTACTTCATTATACAGTATATGCAGTTATAAACTTTTTTCTAACATTGTTTGTTGTCACAATTTTTGTAGAATAAAGTAAAATTATCAAGTAGAAGTAGAACTTTATCTGTATACATCTAGAGATATAAATGACACTTCTTGAGAGTTTGATCTCATGTGCTATATAACTGTATACTTTATTTAGATCATATATATATATATGTATTATAGGTGAATCTACAATGGATCGCCCGATAGTTTTTATTCGGAGCAAACACAAGTACTTTGGTCCATCAAAGATTCCAATTGTTGTTGATGTGCAGCCACCAAAACCTACTTCTAAAGCACATATAATTCGAAAAGAAAATAAAATAACACCAGCACCACCAACACCACCCGAAAAAAAATTTAACATTGATGAGGCAAAAACTAGTGAACAAGTTTTAGATCAGACTCTTGGAGAGAAACCAGAAATTCTTCCTGGAGATGATGTTGAGATTCTCCGCATACCTTTTGAGCTCAAAAACAGTAAACCTGTTAGAAATCAAATCAAGGAATTTATCGGAGAAACGATGCCCGAATTGATTTTGAAGCCTAGGAGAGGTCGACCTAGCACCAAGCATAATACGGAACGCAGTTTGATCAAGAATAATAATATGTTCCAAATTACATTGCATAATTCGGATGACGCATTGCAAAACGAAGAGAACGCGTCAAAGAAAACAATTTCAAAAATGGAGAAGCAAATGTACGGTCGAGATATTCAACAACAATTTGCCATAGAACAAGCGGTCAGTAGTATTGCTGGACTGGACTCTCCTGATGATGAGGACTCTCCTCCTCGACATGAATTTAATCATCCTGTTATAAATCTCCAAAATGTTCACCAATTTATGAAAAAAGAAACTCCTCCTAAAAAATTATTACCAGATTTGAACATATTATCAGAAAAAGAATTTTATAAAACTCCTTCGAATCCGGCACCCATGAAGATCTCTAAAATTGAGGTTTTAAGTACTAATAAAAAGTCAGAGTGTGACAAGTTAGTTAACGCGAAAAATCCAAAGTATGAAAATGGACATGATTACAAAATCAAGATTTCAGAAGATTTACAGAAGATTACAGAATCAGATTTGCATTCAGATGAAACTAAAAACAAAGAATATGCAACAATTAATAAAAAACACGAACAGAATGAAGATCAGTCAGAAGTAAAACAGGCTGAAAATTCTTCAGTGGATTATGAAAGTGCTAATTTGATTCTTAATCAGTATGATTACAATTTGGACACTAGCTTATTTAGAAATACTGGAAATTTGAGTGATGAATACTTGCTGCAATCTGCTTTTCCTGATCTACAGATTGAATATAATTCCGATTCTAACACAATAAGTATTCCTGATCCACAAGAATCTAATTTCGCAAAAACTCAAAATACAGAAGCAAAATCAGGGGAAAATGAAACGCTGAACACAAATGGGACAACGGTAACAAATGTGTCTCAAAATACAGCAGAAGACAGAAGTAGCGATCATGAAGATACACATTCAAATCATTCATTAGTTTACTATGACTTTTGCAATGAAATGGCGTTGCCATGTAATTTCAGCCCTATACATGATGATTTTCTTTTCTCAAGTGATACTGATTTCTTCGATTCCGGCATTTTTGCAAATCCGCGTGCCGATGATGATTTGGAAGCTCTGATAATTGATAGTTATAGCAGACTAACTGACACTGGAGCTCCAGTTAACTGGATTAACGATAACAATGACAATGCATTTTTGGACACTGATCTCAGTCACGATAATGAGTGCCCAACACCGACAGATCAATCGAAAACGAGTGATAATGTTAGTGTTGGATCATGTTCATCTGGCCAAATGGCACACGAAAAAGTTGCAGGATATGAATGCGTCACTCCCACTGTGAACAATATTATGGATACGCCCTCACCCCCAGATGTTGACGAACTTTTTACATTCGATATAGATGCGGATGATTCGAATTCTCCTTTGAATATGGATTTTTCTCCTGAGTTTTTAGACGAAGATGTGGATTTCGATGTTCTTGAATTCCTAGAATCAACTGCAATTGCTACAAGTGATATGGAGCGAACTCCAGGGAGTTCTCCAACAATTTCTGGCTCAAATTCGTCTCCAGAAAATAGAACATCTTCTAGTTCCTCGTTTGACGACACGCCCAAGAAACAAAAATATCTTGATCTACAAGAAATTTGATATTTTAAACATTAGCACGAATCGGTTTTTTCTATTTATGTATTTGTATTAGCTTAATATATTTCCGTTGTATGTTTGATGATTTATTTCTATCCTATGCTAGTTATTATTGATAACACTGCGAAACACGACAAATTTTTCCTGATATGTTATGATAGTTTTTAAGTAATTCGAGGACGCTGATTCCGAAAACAATAATAGAAATTTGTAAACGGCCCTAGTTTTTGATATATGCCAATATGCTAGTTTTACCTCAAATTACAATAAAAAAATACTACATATTGCATTTTATGCTTTCAAAAGCCTTTTTATATGATTTTCGAGCATGGTCTGACTGATTTCTTCATAAGCCCTAACAATTTTCAGCCATCATGTGGATGTCCTACCTTCTTTCATATCGATCCTCTAAACTCCTGATGTCTTGGTGGATACTTACGCCCTGCTCTTTGCTAATATCTCCAAAATTTTCCAAAAACCGATCTGAATAAGAGCGCGGGTGATAAATTCAAATCAATTACATCAAATATATCGGTTTTTAATTCTTCCTGTCTTCGCTTTTAACGTTCATTTCTGCATCCATTATTTGATAGGCAGGAGATGTTGATGTTCTAGGTTGTTCATCATTAGCATGGGGGTTGTGTAGCTGATCATAAGTAGCTCTTAATACCATTGGGGTTGTGGTTTATGACCATTTGCTTCTATTTCCTGAATTTATTTCATTGGTATTTACCACAGAGAAGAAACAATCGTCGTGGTGATTCTGAGGTTTTCTCTAAATGATAGGTTTATTAAAATTATAGCACTTGTTTTTTATTCAGGATAATAACGTAAACACACTACGCAAGTTTTTCACATAGTATGAGGAACCCATGTTTCATCTTTATTGCGCAATTCAGTTTTAAAGTGGTTGAAATACAAAGTCTTTACGCAGTTCGACATAGGTTTCCGGTATTTGTCCAAAACATATTAATCACAGGTGTAAAAAAACTATGTGAATTATGCGTACAACGTCTTAGAGTCGAAGGTATACCCAAAACAGCAGATAGAACTCTTAATTATTCTTTAAACTGCAATAATTATAGCCGAATGACTAATTGTGGTCGTTCTCTAAAACTCAAGAACTTATATTACTCAAGAATATTTGAATTTAGCGTGCAATTCTAAGTAGATTTAAAAAAAAGTTCGAGGAAAAAAATAAAAGTGCCTTTTTTGTCGCGCAGTGAAATAACTTATATGCATTATTGGTTTTGATTTTAAAGAAATTTTAATCCTCGGAAGTCGCCAATAGTAGAGCCAAAATATATACATTTCAAAATAACCACTTGGAAATATTAACTTTCCGTAGGGTAAGTTATTGTAATGGGCCGAAAATCTAAATTGAAAATTTTTACATTTCTCGAAGTTTTGAAGGTTTCTGAACATTTTGGCATACCTCAGAAAAAATGGATGTGTGTGTGTATGTATGTATGGATACAAATTTCCAGTCACGTTTTCGGGAGCACGGATCAACCGATTTGAATGGTTCAAAAAACATTCGATTCCTATTGATAGGGAGATGAGCTGATTTGTTTTTGGCAAAGGCAGGTCCAACAGTTATAGAGATAAAGAGAAATGGCTGCAGAAAATAGAAATCGAGTTTTTGAGAGAACGGAGCATCCAATTTGAATGATCTAAAAAACATTCAATTAATAATGATTGGGAGAAGTGTTTATTAGTTTTTGGCAAAGACAGGCCCAGCCATTTCGAAGATAAGGAGCTAAATGTGTAAAAATGGCAGTTTTTGAGAGAACTAAGCGTACGATTTAAATGATTCAAATGATTTTGGAAAAAAAAATTTTTGCATTTTGGAAAAAAATTTTTTTTTGATTCATCTTTTAAAATATCAAAAACAATTCAGATTTTATTTTTAATTTTGACTATAGTTCTAATATACTTTAAACAAATAATTTCAACTTTGCAATTCAGTTTATATAATTCATATAAATATTAGACAATGTTAAAATATTAATTAAAAGTATTCCTCGAACATTCCGTTACGGTACGGGAAGTTCCAGCAATTTTTAGTCATTTGTTGTACGCCTGCTATGCTGAAAATACTGCCACCACAAATCCGTCAACGTGTTATGGGTTGCTTACGAACGAACTTAAATGGTTGATATCGAAATAAAACTATTTTTGTTCAACTTTGTCAATGTTTTTGCATCAATCAGGTCATGATTGATAATCTAATTAAAGGAATGATTTGAAGTTCTAATTAGTGAAAACTATTTGGATATGACATTTTGTCGCAAAATGTCACTTTTTGTTATTAACTTCCCGTAGGGTAAGTTATAGTAAACGCAAAAAAATCGAAAATAAATTTTTTTGCATTTTTCGACGTTTCAAAGGTTTCTGAATATTTTGGCATACCTTAGAAAAAATGGATGTATGTTAGTGTGTGTGTGTTCGGATACAAATTTTTGTCGACGATTTCGAGAACACCGATCAACCGATTTAAATAATTTAATAAACATTCGATTCGTACTGATAAGGAGACGTGCTGATTAGTTTTTGGTGGAGGCAAGTCTAGCCGTTCCGAAGATACGGGGCAAAAAGTGCCAAAAACGGTAACACGGTTTTTAAGAGAACAGAGCGTCCGATTTTAAAAATTCAAAATACATTTTACTTGTATTGACAAGATGAAGAATTGATCAAATTTTCATTAAGGCAGGTCTAGCGGTTTCGGTGATCTAATGAAAAAAGTAAAGCAAAAAGCCATTTGGCGGTCAAAAGTGATCATTAGACATATGCACATCAAATTATCAGATATTTTATAGAGATTTTTACAATAAGTATGAATTTTGTTTACATTCCTATGGGTTCCGTACCAATGTTTATCCGTTAGACGGCGACGCGGCGCTTACGAGCATTGACATTTCGTCTCTATGCAGTTAAAGCAGTACGATTGCTTTGAAAAAAAGTTCAGAATTTCCAAACTATGCCAAAATAAAGAAAACTTTTTTTTTCAAACAATTTTTTTTTAGTTTCTCAAAAATCTAATTTTTTCGAATTAAAATTTTTTCGAAAATGTTAATCGCTTTTAAAAAAATAATAAATTTTGGTACGGGAAGTTCCAACAATTTGCCTTAAGGCACGATGCCTTAATTGCCTTAAGACAGAATTCCACTTACAGCTAGTTTTATTTTATAATTTTGGCAGTTTCATTTTTTAATATATATTCTATATTTAATTATTTACCAATAAGATATCTTGCTTGGCCAAATGCCTACTACTTACACCTAGATCTTGAACACCATTCCGTAAGCTATACAAAAAGAATATGGCAATTAACAATCTGTTGTGATGATTATTATTTTTTTGTCCTGATTATTATCATACTGATGGTTATTAGAGGACAACCGAATGCCATTGGTCTCTTCTAGTTTTGATAAACTTTTAATAGAAGACAACCTTATTATTGTAAGTATAGAAATCACAAAAAATCGAAAATGAAAGTTTGTATATATCTTTACGTTTCAGAAGTTTCTGAAGATTTTGGTATACCTAAGAAAAAATGGATGTGTGTGAGTGTGTGTGTGTGCGGATACAATTTTTCGTCGACGATTTTGAAAACACGGACCAACCGATTTGAATAATTCAAAAACATTCGATTTCTATTGCTGGAAGCATGCTGATTAATTTTTCGTAAAAGCAGATCCGAACGTTTCGAAAATTTTGAGATTTTGAGATTTTGAGAGAATCCGATTTGAATGATTCAAAAAACATTTTACTTGTATTGACAAAGTGAACAACTGGTGAAAATTAGGAAGCAGGTGTTTTGGAAATGAAATCGAGAAAGTACAAAATTCCATTTGACGGTCAAAAATGATCATTAGACACATGCAAACAAATTATCAGATTTTTTATAGAGATTTTAATAATAAGTAGAAATTTTGTTCGCATTTCTATGGGTTTTATACCATAATTTATAATGATTAACCGCTAGACGGCGCGGCGCTTACGCGCTTTGATTTTTGTTTCTAAAACGGCCATGCAGTGCGATTGCTTTAAAAAAAGCAATATAAAAAATTAAGATTTTTCAAAAAAGTCTTTTGTTTTTTCAAAAAATTTTTTGCAGAAAATTTCACAATTCCTGAAAATCTAATTTAAAGTTTTCAAAAAATTGAAAAGCTTTTAAACAATTAAAAAATGATACGGAAAATTTCAGCAATTTGCCTTAAGGCACCACTAATTATCTACATTTTTATATTAGTGTTGTGAAAGAAACATGAGCATTTACAATACCGTTTGTTCAATGTTCCTGTAATTGCTAATTGCGTTTATTATTGAATAAAAATGGATTTTTTATACTAACAGTTTAGTTTCATAATGGACATAAATTTAAGAAATTTATTCAAGAGCTTAATTGCGACTATTCAAAGAGTCAGCATTATTAATCAAACTAAACATCTTATTGTTAGTGAAAGCCAAATTACGAGACTATTTGCATTATATGGCTGTAATAAACTATTATAGCTGTTAATAAATCAGAGAGAGATATTATATGTATATTATTATGAAGATATGCATTTCTTGTATTATTTTCTTCCGCTCATTAATATTTATTGCCCTTCTCAAATAACATATTCAAACTCTCATACATTTATTCATTTATTTATTTGGTACTTCAAAATACATTTAATTCATAAAATGATAATTTATGTAGTAGCAATTTTAAATTCATATTTTTTCCGTTTAGGAAAAAACGTGCCATGGAATACAAATACAAAATAATAACTAAGGTAAGGGGCCCAGTTTCTGACCTTTTTAGAGTGACGGTGGAGGTTAAACTATAATAATTAATATAAAACTTAACTTAATGAAGAAAATTATAATTTTATCTATTAGTTTAGGATTTTTAAAATAAAGTAATGTGCATAAAAAAATTATTTGAACTAAATTTATATTTTAAATTGACGTTTTAAAAATTGACATTAAGAGCTCCAGTTTCTGACCCTCAGAATTCTTCGTGTGGC